GTTACATCATGAAAATGGCTTCAACTTAGCCCATTCTACTAATTTTTAAAATCAGACAAATAAAACAGTCTTTTTCTTTGGACGTTGTAAAAAAACACATACATTATAATGTCAATATTATGGTGATTTTATCATATAAAAATATTTCTGAAGAAAGTTTGTTAAATTTCATTAATTCTTCATCCATTCGATAAGAAATCTGATCACATGAGTCGAATATAGGTCTCCCGATATCAGCAAAGTGAAGAAACATTCAAGTACCCCAGGACAGGGTTTTTCAGTTTTGTCTACGACCCTAAGTAAGGTCGACCTTCACCCATCTGTTTAATGGAGGAAAATAGGGTGCCTGAAAAAATCCTGGCCAGGCTATGATTAATTGAAAATACAAAAATCATTCTGACCCATAGACTGACTTTTTGCGGGCAACCCTATATCAATAAAAACAGCGCTAATTTTTATGTTTAATTCATAGATTGAACAAGTAGGTGAAACTAGGACCAAAATCCCTGTTTATACCTCTGGCAACCCAATAGTTAGACCGGGAAAATATAGGCATATTTAATAGGCTTTGTACTCACGGTTGGTGTGAATTTTTTTCATTAAACTCATCGGCAGAAATTAAAAAAAGTTATTTTTGAATTTTACATTAATTATAGCCTAGCCAGGATTTTTTCAGGCAACCCATTTTTTATATAATTTTCAACATGCTAAATTACTTATGAAATAGTTTTCATCTATATTAAACAGATAGGTGAAGGTCGACCTTACTTCGGATCCTCTGATAGTTCAGCAAAAAAAAAGTGTCCTAGTACGTAGATCCGTAAAACGCTTCGTTTTTGCGCAAAATATAGAATATAGAGAAGTCTGAAAAGATTTTATTTCTAATCTCAAAAACCCTCATTCCGATTTTCTTGAAACTTCATTTTTTTAGGAATATAAAGCCTTAGTCTAAGGCCCTTAGACAATCTCGTGGCATCCCATAAGAAATAGATGTTTTCAATTCCATATTTCCAACTTTCTTAATTGAAAAGGATCACTAGTTTATAAAGACCTTGAAATATGGCCAATGAAAATGCACCCCGGTTTATATAAATCTGAAATCTGATAACCAGTTGACACAGTGAAGACATATTATTTACGATAATATATACAGTCTGTCCAAGATAAGGTTGAACAGCATGGGGATCTCGAAAACGGTAGGAGATACGAAGTCAGTTAAATAGGGAAAAAGTTGCGCATTCGGAGGCTCATATCAAGAGCCTTCGAAAATTTTTAAAATTATTTTTAGTTTTTTAGTTATATCGAAAAATGTGAATTTTTGGAATATCTATTTTTTTTCTCCGTTATAATTAGAGATACAGAAAAACTGAAAATACTTTTTCATAGCGACTTTTGATGAAGTTCAACGTGGTGATACCAATTTTTCTATGCGACGTTTCGTATTTGTAGAACCATCATCAACTTTTGTTTTTTAAATACGGTCCTGATAATTTTTTCACAGATTCTGAAAGGTTTTTTTATTCTGAATTCGACCATGTATTATACAAGGTGGTTTATGTGTGTTTCGACCTATTTATAACCATCATCAATGTTTTTTCGAAATTCCAAAAGAAAAATACCTCCAGTTCCACTTATTTTGAAGGAAAATTAGCCAACATACTAATACCTCATCAAATTGTTTCAATCAACAACCTATTTCATTTTGCGGAAACAAAAATTCCATCCATACAAATTCAAAATATGTCAAGCGCTAAAACCAGGCGATGACGAAAGGCACAGGACATTCTGTGAGTGGTATACCAGGAAATGTCAAAATTTTGCAAATTTCCCGCGAACAATCATCTGGACTGATGAAAGCATGGTCACTTATCATGGTATCTCCGATAGAAAAAATACACATTATTGTTCACGAGAAAATGAACATTTTTACATTACAGCGAGACACCAACACCGTTTCGGCTTTAATATGTGGGTTGCAATATTTGATACACGAATAATTATTGGTCCTTTTATTCACCATGAAACACAGACTTCCTAACGTTATAGAAATTTGCTTGAGAATCATCTTGAGGAAGCTCTGGATGATTTACCGATTGCGGAATTTCAGAACTGTTGGTTTCAACAAGATGGCGCTCCGGTACATAATTCCAGAGAAGTTCGTGCGTTTTTATCCAGAAAAATGGATTGGTACTCCTTCTGCAGTCCTTTGGCCGGCGCGGTCACCTAACTTGACACAGCTGGATTTTTTTAGGGGATATATCAAAAACTTCGTACTTTGATGATGTAGAAGAACTAAGGGACAGTGTCATCGAAGCATTCAATAGAATAACCCCAGAAATGCTTAGCAATGTCTTATTCATTTTGAACATTTGTTATGAATGTTTCTGAAGGTATTATTGTCAAAGTTAAGTTGTTAAAGTAATTCGTGTAAGATAATTCTTCAACAATTTTAAGCGCTGTATTGAATGAGATGGTGAAATATTTTTTATTCACTTTTCAGTATTGAATAACTGATCCATCAATGTTTGACACTAAATGATCAGAGATAAATGAAACTGATGGCACTTTATTTCCTTTGGAAGTTCGAAAAAACAATGATGATGGATAGAAATAGGTCGAAACACATTCGAATCACCTTGTATAATACATGATTGAATTTAGAATAAAAAAACCTTTCAGAATCTGTGAAAAAATTATCAGGACCGTATTTAAAAAACAAAAGTTGATGATGGTTCTACGGATACGAAAAGTCGCATACAATAATCGGTATAACCACGTTAAACGTCATCAAAAGTTGCTATGAAAAAATATTCTCAGTTTTTCTGTATCTCTAATAATAACGGAGAAAAAAAAAAAGAATAGGTATTCCAAAAATTCACTTTTTTCGATAGAACTGAAAAACTAAAAATAATTTCGAAAATGTTCCCTGTCACTGGGTATTTAGCGTGATTTGAGGGGTCAACTCACTCATGATATAGGGTGCTGCACATGTGGGAAACTATATGTGTAATTAGTTTTTGGATGGAATTGAAATAATATATTAGTGTTTTAGGAACTTCTTGTCATAACATGTCTCTCTATACTGAATGATTCAGATGAAATGAAAAAAATAGAATCAATTTACAATTAAAACCAACATTACCTTTGAAACACTGTCATTAGTAAAAATGTTGTTATGTCGGAAATTGTGAGAAAAAATTTATCATTTTCTAATCAAATTCCTAACTCCAAATATCCTGTCTTTCTCAAAAATCAAGAATACCTCAACAATTCAATTGCAATAGGGTACTTGCATGCAACCATTACATAATACAGGAATTATATCTTTACAAGGGGAAGGACAAGGTTACAAATTATGTACCTACACCATTTGGGCATTTTCTCAGCTATTGCCAGAGCAATAGCTCAATGCAGTTGATAACTTTGTACTTTTACATTTTAGAGTTAAATATCAAATAAAAACACAATCATCTTCACGACAGTTATTACTGTGAAAAATTACATCAAGTGGTATGTGATTTTTCACAGTAAACTGCCGTGGTGAAGATTTTGTGTATTATTTAGTATTTACTACTTTGAGAAATGATGGACTTCTACCGGATATCATTTTTTTTTTTTTTCAAGAACTTTATTCAGATAGTGCTACATTTTAGAGTCAGATCCTGAAAAAAGTATGGTACAAATCATTGTAATTATATACCAACGAACATAAGAGCTGTAATGAGTTCCCGAGATACTTCCATCACAGGAAATAAAGAAGTGAAGCAAAAATACATCCCTGGCAGGATTGAGTACAACTGTGAACAAATCGTTCAATCAATATGATTGCTTCAAAACGCGTTAGGTTAGAATTGACCAATAATAGACCTGCATTTCTTATTTTTCATTTTGTATCCTCTTTTCCCCTAAATATTGTGTCACGACCTTGCCAAGTCAAAGAACAATTTTATTGTATAATATAGTGTTGCAGACAAGACAAATGAACGAAAATGACATCAAGATGGTGCTGTGATCATGTAAAACGGGGGTGAAACAAAAAACGTGGCAAGCTGAAGAGATGGTGCTGCAATCGTGGCGAAAAAATAACATGGAAGGCTGATTGATGATCTGTTCATAGAAATTATTTATATTCAATTTACATTCAACCAGCTCCATTTCCCATATAAAATGAACTAGATTATAATTCGCCCTTGCATTAAATAAAAAAATAACATTGAAACTAGTCTGTGAGGAAACACTGTGTCAGCAATAAGGTGAATATGAAAATTTGTCATATGAAAAATATTGACACATATTACAAGGCAGATCAATAAGAAATATACTAAAAAATTGTAAATTAGGTAGATTCAAGGCTATAACTCAAAATATCAAATGTGTTATATATTTTTGAGAGCTGCGAACCATCAATGTTTTGAATATGGAGAAATATAGAGGGTGTTCTATTTGAAAAAATCATAACTTTGGGTTACATCTGAATAATAACATCTGAAAATATGACTACACCACTGGATTCTTCATGGAAAAATGCAATAAGAGACAATTTTTACTTTCCCTGTTAGTTGAAAGATACCTGAGAAATGAGAAAATATTGCTTGCAGTTTTACAAAACAGTTGCCAACATGAAAACCAGAAATCTGTATCTTTAAAACTGAGTGAGATATCCCATAAGGACAGCAAAAATGGGACAGCCTGTACCTATTGCTGCCCTGTCCTTCCCCTAGATCTTGTATCTATATGTGAATATCTCCTAGTTCAATTATTCAAAACAAGAAATAAAAACCAACTGTGATCTGTGATTTTAACTAATGGAATAGTTGATTGAAATTATCACCACTTCAATATGCAATTAATATTTTGTAGCAAGGTTAACATTACAATGCATCTCACAAATAGGCATACAAGTACCATATGATATATCAGGATATCTGTTGAGTAATAAAAATAAATATTTATATTCATTATTTTTTTAAGATGTATATCTAGGTAGAAACATTTGCCTTTCAGTATGGTGTTGATGCTTCTGAACATGTGGAGTCTTGATGGCAGCTTAATGAGTGCTGCAATGCCATTGGCATCAGCCACTCTTTGGGTAGGCAGCGCTCAAGAAATGGAACCCAGCTACTGAAATATGCTAGACGATTGACCCATGATGGAATATCTTGACCACATAAAATCTAAACACACAAGTTGATGCATTAAAAATTGCAATAAAATTGATGAGAAGGTAATTATGCAAACCTTTGTGAATGATCCAGAGAAATGATTACAATTGTTATTCATGAGATGATATCTATTACCCTTGAATTCTTTCCCTAATTCATTCACAATTCTGTTGACATCTCTCTCTGTGAAATCTGTGTATCCGATTTGTACTGTTTGCCTGAAATAAGATATTTCACACATTATGTTTCCTAACCAAAATAAAATATGGATGTTACCTGAATCTGAACTGCTCTCCTAATTCTAGTTCATTTCTGGGGGCAATTTCAAATATCCCAGTGAAGGAATATCTATGTCCACCATAAGCATACTCTGTTCCATACACTTCTACACCAGAATGAAACACTCCTAGTCCTATGTTACTGGTGTATTCATTCATTTTATACATGTCATAGACATTAAGCAATATAGGCTCTCTAAACATTTTGTTAGGAAGGAGTTCATCAGAACCTGAATCTCGGGCCGCGCTCATACAACTGAACGGGAGATTGCATGTTAGGCCATTGGAAAACATCTAAAAAGTACCTATCTACAAATGTTCTTCTCATCTCTTTGTTATATTCAACACACTTCTCTAGTATTAAACTAAATTTTGCGAATCACCTCAATTGTATGTCAGACATCAACGAATTGCATTTTCATCATAACAGATATGCCCCACAATGTTTTAATAGAACAGTTGCAACACAAACAAGTTCATCAAGCAAATATTTAAATACTATTTTTCAGTTTTTTAGGTTATATTTTGAATATTTTGACAATTTTGACATTGTGACATTTTGACATTTTGTGACCTTTTTTGTTTTTACATTTTACAAAGTTGCCACTATCAGAATTTCCGAGTACAAGAACGTTCCATCAAAAAGTATTGAACTCAATGATTGTCAAAAAGTACTACATAAGAAAAGGCAAAAGTTTTCAAAGTGTAATGAAATGGAATGTTGGCTTATTTATCACAATTTTTTTTAAAATATACTTTTCAGGTAAAAGGTTCATCTAGGCCACTCAAGGCGCTTAGAGTAGGATTCTTCTTCATGCAGAAAAGATATTTTTCTTCTTCATAATACTAGGGTCAATTACATCAAGGGACCCTACAATACCATAACCTCCTGATAACCTTGAGATTTACCGCAGCACAGCAGCAAGGTACTATTTGAACGACTGGCGGATTTGAGTGCCTATGGTTAATATAAATCCATGCACATGAAATCCATGGAATTCACCACTGTCGGCACTGTCGACAACATTTTTTCTTTGGTTTGCTTCGATTATTACATTATCTCGTTTTGATCAGACATCTGTCGCAGTGAATTCGAAACATCACAACGGAAATTCATGTCCCATCTGACTACACGCTGAGAGTTTCATATCGATTATTTTTTCTAAAAAAGGCACTCCAGGAAACAGAAAAATTCGTAACTTTTTTACGTGTTAATTTGGATTTAGGCAGCAACATTTAACAGTTATCAAGTAACATTTATCATTCAACAATAATTAGCGATTAGAAGTTCAACTTTTTGGTGTTTATGCAGACATTTAACAATTCCTACAGGGTGAACATGAGAAAATTCTATAAATATTCACTGTATATCGTAAACGAAGCATTTCTCGACCTGTATGTTTATAGCATTGTCTGCTAAATATGGAGAAAAAATCTAGTGAGCTGGAATATAGCTCACTAGATTTTTTTCCTCATATTTAGCAGACAATGATTTATAGGAACTTTTTCATTTTCCTGAAACGCCCAATCACCTCTCGAAGTGCGTACCACATATCATGAAACACCCTGTATTACTATGAATACCCAGACCAATGACGGCTTAATATATCAAGTAAGCTGCCGACTATGTCATGACTGCCCAATCACTAAGTTCAGTGTATGATTGCTGGGATGGCAGCACATACGGGTGATCTCAAAGATTTCATTTGTTTTGAGAATTTTTTCAAATTATTGGTTATGTATCTCATGAAATGTCAAAACATGTTGTCATTTGCCTTTCACTGCTGAGATAATCTTGTAATTTCATTGATATTTCTTATTTTGCATTTTTTTTTCGTATTATTATAATATTGGTTGGGATGCAATCAATTTGTTTGGATTTCCCAGTGACATCAGTTTGTGAAAAGAATCGTTTTCTGCAATTTTGGAATGAATGGGTAAGAACAGTTCTGTAGATGTACCTCTGACCTATTTAAATTATATTGTTCATTTGGCTCATTTATTTTAGCATTAGATCATTCTGAAGTTGGTGAATATTCTTGCATTTGCACAAATCATTTCCAGAAGAGCTGCATATTATGAGTTTTCCAGAATGGCAGGAAGTGCCTTATAAAAGGCTCTCTGTCCCTACAATATTTGAGGTATGTAACACTATTATTTCCTAGTGTTGAATGAACAAATATATAGTATACCCAACTGAAAGGAGGTATTTTAGTTTTTGATTCTCCTACTTTTATCTTTGCTCTCTATACAGTGTGAACCTCAGTCCAATATAAATCAATGTGCATTGATTCAATCTCTAATTATCTACAATTACATCTTCAAATTTTAAATGTGTTCTCACCATCACTAGTTTCAGTATCTATGAATCAGCAGATGCATTGCATTGTTGCAGTTGATTTATGTTCAAGCCAAAATACTCATGTCATAGATTATCATGTTTATGAATTGATAATCTGTTGGCAATAGTATTTGTGAAAAAAAATAAAAGGAAGTTTTGTTTGTAAACCCTGCACTATTGTCTTGAAATTATCAACAATGTTGCTAATTTGTTGTGAAACATAAAATATTGATGTTTAAAATAAGTTTTAGCAACCTGCAGATTCCTGGATGATGCCCACTACATCCACTGGAAAAACATTCTAAACTACAGATTGGGCGTTCTCAAATGTAAGTACCTAACACCTATAGTGACTCCAGATTAATAGTTTTCATGAACATAATTCAACTCTTAACCAATCTGAGCAAGTCTAGTTTACAAAAAAAACCAGGGATCATTCTGATTCTTTTTCACAAGGGTGGTTTCAGGCTTTTTTGTCAGTCAGTCTGTATATTATATATATATATATTCTGTTTATAACAAAAAACTCAATTTATTGACCATGAACTGATTTCTTTTTCTCACTGAATACTGTACTCACTTCCAGTTGAAGTATAATATGTTCTGAAGATATAGTAGAGTAATTCAGATAACCAGATGAAAAAAAAAAACAGTGGTATTTTGATCTATCCATTTATTCAAAAAAATTACTATTGGTAAGGAGTATATATGTATGAATAAGGTATCTCAGATTATACATATACCCACATGGTACATATTCATACAAATATTATGAATATCATGAATATTATTTTGGTTTGATAACGTTCAAGTGTTTTTTTCCTGAATAACTTTTAATTTTTCTTTTTCAGGTTCAGGTACATGAAAGGAGCAAATTCGAAGAAGTTTTGGAAGAATCAAACAATCTCTCCCTAGTGGTAATTGGAATTTTGTTTTGTTTCACCTAGCAGTGGAATATCTGAAAATTTGTTTTAACAAAAGACATCAGAAATCTCAATCATCTGCCTATTAGCAATGGAATGGCCCAAACAGTGCATGAACATTTGATATTCAAGTTAAGGATTAAAAAATGTACCATTTTCAATATCAATGTATTGTTCCTTCCATGAAATTTTCAATATGTAGTGTGGTTATGACAAAAATGAAATATGGTTATACAGGTATGATGCAAAAACTGGCCCTTTAAATTTGTACACTCATAATACATACATTGCTTGGAGTGGCATGAAACAATGTTCCATATTGAATAAGTTATAAAGTTACCAATAGGAATACTGACTATTTAGATCTTCCATTCCTATAGTGGATGGTGTTGGAAATGTAACATTATATGTAATAAAATGCAGAGTGATCTGTCTGCAAAAATCAATAGTTTATTCTTCCATTGTGATGGAGAATAGTTCCTGTGGGCTACTTTTCATTAGGACACCCTGAATTGTATGTATAGTGAGGTACTAGGCATGAATGAATTGGATGATTATTTTTGTGAAATTTTTATTTACAAATTTTCGAAAGATTACAAAATTCATTTCAATATGTTATTGCAACATTTTATAGGAATTCCTCATTTTGCATTGGCGAGGGGAGAGGGGTCTAGAATGTTTGGTCAACTGCAAAAAAATGTAGTATCAACTTAAATTTCCAATCACAGATTATAGATAGATAGATAGATATCACTTTATTTCCAACAGGTATACACCCAATTACAGGAAATGTTAAAAGTAACGCTAGTTGTACAAAACCAAAATTATTTCTTGATCAAAATTAAAAATAAAAAGGTATACTATATATATACATATATGAAAATCACAAACAATGATGAAAGAATAGAATATTAATGTAAAAAAAAATAAGAGAAATATATCAAGATTACAGTTGAAAAGTTCTTTGGAGAATACATTTCAAAATTGATTTTAGGGTACTATTATTAATATCGCACATATTACATATTAAATTGAAATTGTTACACATTATTGTCACGGGTGCCCTAAGACTAATATTTGTTCTACTATTTTCACAATAGAATGTCATTTCATGTCTAGTATTCATATGTGGAGTGTGGAAATTGAATTCTAAAAGGGGAGCACATGATATCTTGTCAGTGACGGCTCGTCAGGGACGGCAGGGTCGGCCGGGCCGTACCAAATAATTTGGGGAAAATTACTGAACTATTTGATGAATAAAATTATTTTCCGAAACTGTTTTCATAATTCATCGCTCATTATCCTACCGTTATGCCACTATTATTTGAATTTCATTCATGGAACCTTTGAGTATGCCATCCGCTTATACACCGAAAATCACGAACTAATTCAGGACCTACGACATCTGGTAATCCCATCGTCAAAACGCCGCTTTCAGTCGAAACGCTCGCGTAGCTCATTACACTGATGCAGACGGCCGGCCGATCGGTGATTTCATGTCTCGACGCATCGCCACAGGCATCGCCTACAGATTCCCCGCTTCAAGTTTAAATTTTCGCTTATACGCGTCATACCTTGGGTGCGGCCAAGCTCTGCTGGCCGTCCAACGTATCGATCGTACTTATCATCAGTTGTTTCATAGACTACAGAAGATAAACTATTTGCAGTGCGCTCGCTGTGCACCGTATCGAACCATTCCGACCTAATTTTTAATATACGGATTGGCATGATTGACATTCTATTTTCATTTTACATTGTAGGTATTTATAATTTTAATTCCTATACTTATTTGTAAGTTGATGTTGGAATTTGAAATGTACAAACTGAAAAGAAAAATAATTTCCATGTTTTTGTTTACGCTTGCAGTAGTTGCAGTAAAAATGACTGGTGATTTTTGAATTTGCAATTTTTCAGTAATTCATAATTCAACATATCCATCTAATATTGCTATCAGAATTTTCCTTCAGTGCTTCTGAGCGTCAATAAGTTATAATTCAATTTGAATATTGCTGTAATGTAACCTACTGTGC